CTCCTAGATAGTCATATATAATCAATTCACTTGTTTTTTTTGGGTCTTTGTTGTAAGAGGGACCACAGGAAGTATCTGACTACTGTGCCATCTTGGCCCCGCCTCCTTGTCCTGCTTTTTTATGTTTTGATATTGTCTCCTGTCTCTGAGACATGAAGATATTATTATTTATTTATTTATTTATTGTATATTCATTTTTTTATCCTTGTTTTTTGGTTTTGTTATGTTGTATCAGGGCAGATGGGCCAGGCCTGCTTTGCTGCTTGCTCGTCTGTGGGCACAGTAGCTATCACCACCTTGTCAGGGTGGGCAGGGCAGCAGCAGGCAGGGCGATCCCATTTCGCTGTACACTAGTTTGACGAGGTAGCTGAAGGAGGACAGGGTGGGCGTGGTCTCCCTGCTGATGTTGCCAGACAGGCGAGGGTGTTGAAGGGGGAGTGGTATGGGCTCACTTCCCCCACCGTTCAGCAGCTGGTCGAGTGACAGGAGGGGAAGGGCCTTGCAGACTCAGTGTGGTGGGTGGCCTAAATGCTGGTGACGCTGTAGCCACAGTGGCATGGCAGGAGCCAGTAGGAAGGGTCTGTAGTTGGTATACAGGGCTTGGTGAGTGAGAAAAAGAAAAGAGAGAAGAAAAACAAATTTTTTTAAGAAAAGGGGTGGCACAGCGATAGCTGCCAGGTTGAGGTGGGGCAAATCCAGGGGCCAGTGGGAAGAGGAGGGTGGTGGCGTACGGAGCTATGGGAGAAGGAGAAAGTAAACAAAGAAAAATAAAAAATTTAAATAATAAATTAAATAATAAAAAATAAATGGCTGTGCGGTGAGGACCAGTGAGTGGGAGCGGGCTGGACCCAGGGCAGTGGTGGGCTGGTGTGCTGGTGGCACTCTATCTGCCGCCCTGCGGCAGGGCCCAGCGGGAAGAGGGGTGAAGTGGCGTATAGGGCTAGGTGAGAGGGAGAAAGAAAAGTAAGAAAGGAAAAAAGAAAAAAAAAAAAAGGGCAACATGGTGGAGACTGGCAAGCATGGGGGCGAGGTAGACCCAGAGGCCAGTGGGAAGGGACGGGAGGTGATATACAGGGCTAGGTGAGAGGGGGAAAGAAAAGAGAAAAAATAAATTTAAAAAAATGGTGTGGTGGTGACCAGTGGGTTGGGACAGGGCATACCCAGGGGCCAGTGGGAATGGAAAGAAGGTGACTTATGGGGCTAGGTAGGAGGGAGAAAGAAAAGACAGAAGAGAAAGGAAAAAAAAGAAGGAAAAAAAATAAAAATGGTGGCACAGCAGGAGCCAACGAGTAGGAGTGGGGCGGACCCAGGTGGCCCGTGGGCTGGTGGCTCTCTAGCTGCTGCGGTATGTCAAGGGTTCAGCAGGAGGTGGAGGGAGGTGGGGTACGGGACTAGATGGGAAGAAAGAAAAGTGAGAAAGGAAAAAGAGAAAACAAACAAAAATAGCATGGTGGGAACAGGCAGGTGGAGGTGGAGCAGACCTGGCACAGCAGCAGGTCGGTGGCTCTCTGGCCACGGTGGTGTGGTGGGGGCCTGCAGAAATGGGGGAAGGTGGTGTACAGGGTTAGGTGGGGGAGAGAAAGAAAAGGAAGAAAGGGGGAATAAAAGCTGTTCAGCGAGAGGGGGCAGGGTTCGTACTGTGGACCTTGGCAGTGGGGGCTGCTAGGCTGGAATGGTTCTTGCTACTACTTACCAGAAGTGTTGAGGGGTGGGAAAGCATGTTTCTCTGGTTACTGGGTGCTCTATCTCCTATTGGGAGCTCCATGAAGTTGCCTTACTGTACTCCTGTCCAGGGTTGTTGCTGGCTGTTTTCCAAGATGACGATACTGTGCCATGTTAGTTGGCAGGAGACCTCCACTCCATATCTCTCCTCATTCTCTGTTTTCTGTCAGTTTCTTCTTCCATTCGGTGTTTGATCGAGTTCTTTATCCCTTCATTTGATGCCTAGGGTTCCAGGATTGACATTTGTATCTATTTTACTTAGTTTTTCAGGTCTTTGCTTCAGAGGGATGGCATGGTGTGGCCATCTAGGACGCCATGTTGGCTCCACCACCACCATTTCTTAATTTATCCATTTTAGACCTTGTCTGTTGACTTCTGGCCATGGTAGAACAGGATGTAGTTCTCCCATAGAACCAAAAGATGCACATCTTCTAATCGAAAGGGCCTACCAAGTGTTTTGTACAATAAATGGGAAAAAAAGAGAAAAAAACAGAAATGGCTAAATTTCAGAATCCCAGAGATAGAGGGCCTAAAAGCATCCAGAAAGAAAAATAAAACAGGTCCAACATGTAAAGGATTGGGAATCAGAATGACACAAAATGTATGTAGTTATAAGTACATCAAAAGACACTATCAAGAAAATGAAAAGACAACCCACTGGCTGGAAGAAAAATTTGCAAATCGTATATCTGATAAGGGTCTAGTATCCAGAATATATAAAGAACTCTTATAATTGAACAATAAAAATACAAACCCAATTTAAAAATGAGCAAAGGACTTGAATAGGTATTTCTCCAAAGAAAATATAGAAATGTCCAAGAAGCAACATGAAAAGATGTTCAATATCATTAGTGATTAGGGAAATATAAATCACATTGAGATACCACTTTACATCCCCTTGTTGTTGTTATTGTTGTTAGGTGCCCTTGAGTCAATTTCAACTCATAGTGACCCCATGTGGCAGAGTAGAACTGCCCCATTGGGTTTTCTAGGCTGTAATCTTTATGGGAGCAGATCACCAGGTCCTTCTCCCATGGAGCTGCTGGGTGGATTTGAACCAATAACCTTACATTTAGCAGCTGAACACTTAGCCCGTTTACCACCAGGGTTCCTTTCACACCCCCTAGAGGTTGGCTATAATCAAACAGCCCACAAAAATAAATGTTGGTGAGGATGTGGAGAAATTAGAACCTTCGTGCACTGCTGGTGGCATTATAAAATGATGCAGCCAGTTTGGCAGTTTCTTAAAATGTTAAACATAGAGTTGCCTTATGACCCAGCAGTTCTACTCCTAGGTATATACTCAAGAGAACTGAAAACGTATATCCACACAAAAACTTGTACCCAAATGTTCACAGCAGCATTGTTCATAATAGCCAAAAAGTGGCAACAACCCATATGTCCATCAATGAATGGATAAAACGTGATATATACATACAATGGAATATTATTTGGCAATCTAAAAGGATGAAATACCGATACATGCCACAACACAGGTGAACCTTGAAAACGCGCCAAGTGAAAGAAGCCAGATACAAAAGGCTACATATTCTATGACAGACAGTAGATTAGTGGTTGCCAGGGACTGGGAAATGGGAGTATAGGGAGTGACTATTTAATAGGTACAGGGTTCCTTTTGACTGATGAAAATATTCTGGAATCAGATAGTGGCCAAGGGTGTACAACATTATGAATATACTAAAAACTACTGAGTTGTATACTTTAAAATGGTGGATTTTATGTTATGTGAATTTTATTTCAATTAAAAAAGTTTAAAAAATTATGTAGTTATATAAAATAAATGGTTAAATTAGTAGGATTTATCTTGACCCTGCAAAGATTGTTCTATGTAAGGTCAAATAATGTACTCTGACTTCTTTTCTTTCGTATGCAACCCTTTTTTCCCCAGGAGTGCCTTTTGTCAATTACTTAGTCTTCTATGAACATTTGTTGTTAACTTTTAACTAATGTCACATGTCGAGCAATATTTTCTGTATACTCAATTATAGCCTTTTTTTTTTTTCCCTGGAGTCCTTCTTCTCACACCTTCTGTCCTTCTGCTCCTATCTGGACTGGTTACCCTCTAGACCTTCTATCAGTTGTCATTCAAACATACACTCCCCTACTCGTAGTTGGCTCCCTGTTTCCTGAGTTCCACGTTTTCCTTTTCTTTTGCGTTACTCTTATTTTGCGGGAGCACATTCTGCAATAGATTCCTAAGAAAAAATATGTGGAAAATAAATTTTTAGAGTCTTTAGGTATCTGAAAATGTATTTAATTACATCCTCACAATTAATCGATAGTTTGGCTGAGTATAGAATTCTAGATTGGAAATAATTTTCCTTCAGAATTTTGATGGCATTGCCTCATTGCCTTATAACTTCCAGTATTGCTGTTGAAAAGCTGATGCCATTGTGATACCTGATTCTTTGTATGGGATCTGTTTGACTTGTTTTATTTTCCTTTCTGGATACTTCTAGGGCTTTATCAGTGGTGTTCTGAAATTTTGTCCTTTCATTGATAGGACTTTTTCCCCCTTACTTATACTTAACACTTAGTAAGTCCTTTCATTTAGAAGATGTGAAGCCTTTGGTTCTAGCAAATTCTCTTACATTATTTCTTTGATAAATTCTCTTCTGTTTCTGTTTCCTTTTCCTGGTGCTCCTGACTTAATCCTATAAATGCCTTATTTTTTTCCTTCCATTTTCCATCTCTTTTTGTATTATTCTCTGCAGGAGTTCCTCAACTTGTTATTCCAGCTTTCCTAATTACTTTATTTGATAATACAATTTTAATATTCTAGATTCTTTATAAATAAGGAAACCAGAACACAAACAGAGTGATGGTTTATATGACAATTTCCCAACGAACTTTCAAGAGTATAGTTTTATACTGTATTTAGCATAATTGACTTGGTTTTCTTCACCAAAAAAAAAATAATAAAAAATATGCTCTTTCCATATCAAATACACAGAGATTAGAGGCTAGTAGAAAAGGTTATTGTCCACTAGAGAACACAAAGATGTTGTCAGTATTGTATATACAATTCAAACATAATTTTATCTGAATTATTTTCTAGATTTTGATTGATAGTGTACATCTACGTTCAGGAAGCACTTATATATAAAGTATCAAGTCAGGAAAAGCTATTGATAAACTTCCCACCAGTTTAATATCTAAGCTTTCTTAGTGATTCTGATAGTATCAGAAAATATATTTGTTTAGTAGCTTTATATATCAAAATAAATTTCAAGATAGTGACACTTTTCTCTCTTTAGACCTTAAGTGATGTAAGAAATCTCAACTTTCCACCACTGTTTACTCAGAAATATCCTCGTGAGGTATGTATAATTCTTACCTTTGATTCTTTTTAGAATCGTATTTAGAACATAAGAGATCCTTAGCAGTCAACTTGTCAGTTTCCCCATTTTACCGATGAGGAAATCAAAGATCTCGAGAGGAAAGGAACCTGCCCCAAGAACACACGACTTGTCAAATCAAAGACGGGCACTTTGGAGCCTGGCCTCCCAGCCCAGGCTCTGTGCCACGTGCTGCGTGACCTCCTGTGTGTGAATCTTTAGCAACCTTTTGCTTGAAAGAGAGGCTCTTAAATAAGGCCAAACAGTTCCCTCACAGGAAAAGAGTTGTGTTACAATAGTGCTCTTCATCTCTTTATCATAGTCTTAAGTACTGGCTTATTTCTTAAAAAAAAAAAAAAAGCACTAATTACCATTGCTTGTGTGTGTTGGAGTTACACCACTCAGAGTGACACAGTAAACAGTAAACGGTTCAGAAGAGTGTTAAGGGAAAAGTAAACTGATTTTGATGGTGAACTGTGTATAAGTGAACCTTCGAAGTTTTTTCTTCCCCTACAGCTTATGGTTATTTTTATTTCATAGTATATTTGGTCCACAGATACATCATTTCAAAATTTATACATTGATAATTCATGAATTTTCTTAAATAGTTGAAATAAATTATGTATGTCAATTATCAAATTGGAAAAAGTCAATATTTATCTTTTCAGCATTATAAATATAATCAAGGGTTGCCTTAAAAATGTACTTTATAATGATATATTTAGAAATATGCTAACCTAAAAAAAATATGTTTTACTGAAAGTCATTATGTTATCATATGTCTTGCAAAGTTGATGTATTGATTCCCAAAGTGGCTCAGACGAGTGTATGTTATATTAAAAGGGGCTCAAACAAGGGGAAAAAAAGTGTCATGAAAGGGTGTTTAATGCTGATCTCTGGCATGATTATTTTTTAATTGAAATTTTTATTGAGTCACATGCAGTTGTAAGATGAAGTTATTTTTAAAGTCAGATGTTTTCAATGTTTCAAGGATGTTAATCACATTCTTTATTGTTTGATCCTTTGTTATATGTTAGGAAACAACCAATTACATAAAAATCATCCGTGTTTATTTTGATCAAAGGTTAGTGATCTAACAGTCCACGGGCCAAATCCAGCCTGCTGCTTATTTTTGTGAATAAAGTTTTATTGGAACATAGCCATGCCCATTTATGCTGCTAACCAAAAGGATGGCCGTTTGAATCCACCAGGCGCTCCTTGGAAACCCTAGGGAGCAGTTCTGCTCGGTCCTATAGGGTTGCTATGATTCAGAATCGCCGGCAACTGGTGTGACTGCTTTTATGCTTTAGTGGCAGAGTTGAATAGTTGCAACAGAGCTTGTATGACTTGCAAAGCTTAAAATATTTACAGAAAAAGTTTAGAGGACTGTTCTGTAGTCTAGACCTAGCCCTGTTATCACAAAACAATTTTTATATTTCAGTATGTGATGGTTCAACACATGCTCTCTCCATCCCCCATGGAACGGCCTGAAGCTACAGACATCATTGAAAATGCTGTATTTGAAGATTTGGAACTTCCAGGAAAAACAGTTCTGAGACAGAGGTCTCGCTCCATGAGCTCATCAGGAACAAAGCATTCGAGACAGTCAAGCATCTCCCACAGCCCTTTGCCAAGTAATTTGCCTTAAGTTGTGCTGGCAACCCTTACAGGTGACCCAGAATAGCCCACCTCTCAGGAATGTGGCTTTCCAAAATTGTGGACTTGAAAATTTTGTTCTTTGCTCGATTTTATTTTGCACTACCTTTTCTAAGTCGTATTTAAACTGAATTTTGGAGCATAGCCTAATTTGAGCCGACTCATGATTTTTGCTACATTCCAGCAGAAGACTGTCACTAAACTTTTCATGTGTGGTCCTTTTTCTTTATTGGTCTCTTGAAAATGGCTGGCCAAATTCTATAGCCCTCACCTTTTGCCTAGAGAGGTAGACTCGATCCCTAAAATATATATAGAGAGTTAAAACAGAAGTATTTTTATAGTACAGAAGAATAGCAGTGCCCACATGTGGTAACTATATTATTCTAGAAATATGCTTTCTAGAGGTATGATGATGATTTTAAAACTGATTCCCAAGAAAAGCTGACTCCGTTTTGTCCCTGGTGGGTGAATTCGGAATCTGCACTCTTTCGGGGACAAATAGCACAGATTGTACAATGGCTTATGTCCATAGCTGGTTTTGTAGCGATGTTTGTAGTATGAAAGCTTTACTCCTCAGATGGTTCTGGGGAGAGCTTAAGAGCTTTTTGTACTTTTACCTCCAATAAAGGGAAAACAAAGCTTTTTATGTAAAGTAGTCAAAAGTTCTGGTTTGGGGAGGAAAAAAGCCGTAATAAGAAATGAATCATATATTACAACTAACTTCTTCAAGTATGGCCTTTTTAAAACTAATGAAATCCTGTCTCATATGTAATCCTCTAGGTTGGTTCTTTCCCCAAACTGATTTTAGGTAACTGTTTAATCATCTAACTTGACTAACATGTTTTTACTTTTCATTGTAAATATGTTTATTTTTTATTTATAAAAATCCTGAAATCAATCCATTTGGGTTGGTGGTGTACAGAACGCACTTACGTGTGTTAACTATTGTGACTTCTTTCAAGTCTAAATGATTTAATAAAACGTTTTTAAATTATGTATGGTTGACTCTTATTTTGTGGAATTAGCTCCAAAATGGGGCTAAGTTATTCCTAAAGAACATATGTGGAGGAAATAATCTTATATTTACATAAATATTCAGAAGAATCTTCTGCAATGTTATTTACAATAATAAAATTCAACCCAACTAGTCAACAATCCAAAATAAAGAAGAAAAAGAAAACTTACTCTAACCTATCCAGACAGGTGGCTTCTCTGTTATTTCCCAGAGACTTAGCAGAGCCAAGTCCTGTTAAAAATTCATAGGACTCATAACCAAGAGACATTTACTTAGTGCCTATTCTGTGCCAGGGATCTGGGAACATAGAGAAGACCCTGCGCTAAAGAAGACCTCGCAGAGGTCATGCGAGCTGCGCTGGTCTCAAAGGCCCATGTGCCTTTGTGTGTGCATCTGAGATGGACTGTATGGAAGCATGTGGGCCTCTGCCAAAATTTGTGATTATTTTACAGACGATGTCCATTTGACCTGCCCCACAAGCTTATGAGCAATGCGTAAGCTGGATAAACACAAATATCTGTGCACTCTATCCAGACTACAGTGCTGCTGACTGGTGCCCATCTTCCCAAGTCCTGCATGGCTCCTCCCATCTATCCCTGTCTCCTTCATCTCTTGGCCTGCCTGCTTCATTGCTGCCCCCTGACCTCCTCTTCATGCTTGTGCTGTGATTTCTTCCCAGCTCCTACCCCACTCAATCCCAGCTGAATAGCTTTTGACCGTCACAGCGACCTGGGAGGCAGCCATGGCAGGCGTTATCTGTTCTACTTGGGGTGGAAGCAAGGTCCAAAAAGGTGCTGTGATTTGCCCAGGATCACAAACTCAGCAAGTAGCAGAACCAAAACCTCAGGTATTTTGATTCCTACTCAGTGTTTTTCTACTCCCTTGTACCAAGTTGTTTAAGAATTTATAAATTCTTACATGATATAATCATGCTTTCTTTCATTTCAATTCTGGGTGTGTCATTGCTCATCACAACCCCATGTGACAGAGTAGAGCTGCCCCATAGAGTTTCCTAGGCTGTAGTCTTTATGGAAACAGATCACCAGGTCTTTCTCTTGCAGAGCTGCTTGTGGGTTCAAACTGCCAACCTTTCGGTTAGTAGCAGAGTGACTCCATGGCACCTAAAAACAATATGTCATTGCTAGAAGACAGGCATGGGGAGGTTATGTGGCTGGGCCAGCAGCACCCAAGTCTGCAAAGGCAGCCAGAACGGAGTCTTCCGCACTGTCACCCAAAGCCCTGTTTAGTGACTCGAAGCCTCACCTCCCTATCAAGAGCTGTTGCTCTTCTGGCATCTTTCCAAGCCCCTTCCTCCACACTGCCTCTGCTTTTAGCTCTGTACTTAACACTTGGAAACCCTGGTGGCGTAGTGGTTAAGAGCTATGGCTGCTAACCAAAAGGTCACCAGTCCAAATCCACCAGGCACCCCTTGGAAACTCTTTGGGGCAGTTCTACTCTGTCCTATAGGGTTGCTGTAAGTCGAAATTGACTCAGTGGCAATGGGTTTGGTTTGGTTTTGGTTTTACCTAACCATAGTCAGACCAGGTCAGCTTCCCTTGTTCGTGTCTAAGCTACCAGAGAAACTGCTTCTTGTAATCCCAGTAGCATCTACCATAAAGCCTGATACTTGGTTAAATACTGGAGGGATTGAATTTGGGAAATATAATGTGTACCTTCCACATAGCTGAGTCCTCAGGAAATAAATAGCCAAATAGAAAAAAAAAAACCAATCACTGCAATAAATGTTTGGTAAAAGTGAAGGGAGAAGATGGTTTAACAATCCTGATGCTAAAAACAGGTAAGTCTCAAATTCTGGAAGTCTAAAGGAAGTGGACCTTATGCTATAATTTAAATGAGAGGAGATAAGCTGGGAGACAGAGCCCCCAGGTTCTGCGTGTCATAGCCTGGTTAGTCTAGCCCCCGGGCTTCCTCTTTTCACATCCCGTTCCTCCAGCTGTGCTGCCTGGGAGGCTGTAGATGAGAGGGGCCTATGGACACATTCCAGGAGAAGGGACACCCACGTGGTTTCTGTTTGGGTCCTGTTCTGGTTCTGCCTCTTTCAGGAAGGCAGCGGTGCTGAACTGAGTGCGGGTCCAGAGGTGGGGAGACAGTGAGAAATTCTGAAGATGAAGATTCTGAAGATCTACTCTCCCTTCGCCTCCTAGGAGCAGACACGAGCTGACAAGATGTTAGGAGGGGATTGTTTTCATATTGTTTCTCACGGACACTTTTTCTTTGGATGCATTTATAAAGCCCATTTCTGTGCCATTTTTCTCTGAGGAAGTGGAGACAAACATGCTTCCAATCCAGCCATGGCCTGTGGAGTCACTTGGTCTTACTCCTGGAGAAATCAAGAACCAAGCAGGAACTCTGGATGTTTTCTGAACCACCTTAGGTGACATCTGCTCTTCTCATTGTTAGCTGCAGTTAAGTCAGCTCCCGACTCACGGCAACCCCATGTGCGATGGAAAGAAATGCTGCTTGGCCCTGCACTATCCCATGGCTTGTTGTGGATTGGACTATTGTGATCCATAGGGTTTTCACTGGCTGACTTTCCAAAAGTAGATTGTCAGGCCTTTCTTCCTACTCCGTCCTTGTCTGGAATCTCTGCTGAACCTATCCAGCATCAATAGCAACACTCAGTCCTCCACTGACAGACGGGTGGTGATGAGGTGCGTTGGCTGGGAATCAATCCCCAGTCTGCCGTATGGAAGGAGAGGATCCTATCACTGACCTAGATTTGCTTAAAGAGGCTTCCCCTGGAGAGTCTACCCCTGCAACTACAGTAGCTGCCACTGGGTGACTCACTTTTTCACCCAGGAAGTAGATAACTGAGGACTGAGATGAAGATTCTTTTACCTGTAAACATATTCCCCTCCCCCAAACATACCATGAGAACAGCATAACAGGTGTGTCAACAGGTGACTGACCGAAACAGACCACTGAGTGAAAAATTCACCGTATCAAGTCCCATAATGCTTTTGCCATGAAAGGCTTTTAAGTTCCTCATGTGGATGATGACTTAAAGCAATAAACACAGGTGTAGTATGTTCCCTGGCTACTTCAATGACTGTACTTCCAATAATTCTTGGCATCACTCATCTTGCAACTAAGTTGCAAAATTATTTCTGACATTTACTCCGCCAGAATAACTTTTCTGCCCTAGCACTGCTTTGCTCAGCAACGCCCTCTCTGGAGCGAGCAGAGCAGCTTCCTTCTGATTCCTCTCCATGCTGTGGCTGGCTGGGAAAAAAGCTGGAGAAAGCAGAGGGAACAGCCCGTGTGAAGGCTTGCGGGGGCAGAAGGAGTGAGAAAGAGCTCTCAATGGTGGGCTGGAGAGAAGTAGACCAGTTTGAGAATTATTTTTGAGCCAAGGCCAGGACACTGGAACTAATGGAATATAGAAGGTGAAGGAGAATCTAGTACAGCTCCTGGGTTTCTGGTGTCAGAACTTCAATAGAATCCAGAAGGAGGAGGGGGTGGTTTGGAAACAGGGAAATGACAGGTGTTCCTTTTTGAAAATGATGAGTTTTTTGACAATGATGAGTACTGGGTACTCTGGCAAAAAGTTGAGGCTTTATGTTGGAGAAAATGGGAAGGCATTGAAAATGTCTGAGCTGAGGTAGAGCATGAAGAGATTCTTTAAGATCACAGTAGCACTTGATGAAGAGAAATGACTGCAGGGTAGAAGGAGTTGGAGACAGGGAACCAGTCCTGAAGCCACAGCCTTTATTCAGCCAGAGGTCAAAACTGAGCTAGGTCGGTGGGCGTCAGACGATACCCTTTGTCCAGTGACTCCCAGCAACCCAGAGGAGGACCTGCTATCACTGCTCTGTAGTGTTGGATTTTGAAGGATTTCTTCAGGGGTGCTGCAGTGTGTGGGTCCCTGTTTGGAAAGAACCTGCTGCCTTCCAAAATGATGTTAGCTTTTAGACAGCACCCAGAAACAATGGCAGCCACTTTGAGATCAGCTCTCTATGAGTCAGAATCAACTAGACGGCAATGGGTTTATTGCTAGCAGCAGCAAAAAAAAAAGTAGGAAGAGGGAGAGAGGGCAATGCAAGGTTTGGTGGCACAGAGCTCAGGAGCCTGGGGAAATTTCCACTACCCAAAAAGGTCACCAACGCGCCCACGGGGAGTGAGGGTGTTTGATGGTGAGAGGTAATGAAGGGGAAAGGGTGTTCTTGCTCCAAAAGGATCATTTGAAGAAATACTCAGGGATATGGCTGAATAAATGAAAATACATCAATAATATGGATATCATGCAACTATTAAATGAGTCAGCAGTATAAGTGGAATTATTAAATGGTTTATTAGCAGAAAAGTGACAAATGCTAGTTGTAGAGATGTTATTAGTATGATTGCAACCAAAGAAAACAGCTTCTGTGTGTGTTCAAATGAAATATCCTCATCAGCATAGAGAAAGCTTTAAAGATTCCGCACCAAGTGTCACACTGGGTACCTTACGAGAGTGGAGTTGGGGAAGGTTGAGGGAGAAGATTATTAACTTTAATATGCATCTCAGTATTGTTGGACGTCTTCCAATGAGCATAGTACTTTTGTGATTAGTAATAATAAATTAATAAAATAAAAAGGAAGCCAATAAGCATTGTAAAGCATTTACAGTATTTTAATCCATCTCGTATTTGTATCCTACTTTATAGTTTAGAAGTTAACATGGTCTCGTTTCATCTACCAGGACCTCTGCAAAGCTCTTTCACTTGTGAAGAAACAAAAAACACAAACCATTAAAATAACTAGACGGTAACATAATAGGAAGGTTATAATAATCCGCTTACCATCCCACCACACTTTCAGTATAACAATTCCTACTCTCTGGATTCCCTGCAATCCAGAGGGCATTTCAGAGGAGTGTTGGGTGACAGAATGGTGCATTACTACTTACTCGTTTACAATTTTCATTGAGCTCTCTGATCTGTTTCCTCAACTGCAAATAGCATGTTCCGAAGATTAAGCAATAAAATATATTACCTCTAGCATAAAACCCACTGCTGTCGAATCCATTCCGACTAATAGCGACCCCTAGGTTTCCAAGGCTGTAAATCTCTACAGAAGCAGACAGCCACATCTTTCTCCCATGGAGCCTCTGGTAGTTTAGAACTGCTGACCTTTCAGTTAGCAGTCGATCGCTTTAACTTTTAGCATAAAGCCCAACCCAAACCAAACTCATTGCCGACAAGTTGATTCCGAGTCACAGCAGCCCTATAGGACAGAGTAGAACTTCCCCATAAGGTTTCCAAGAAGCAGCTGGTGGATTTGAACTGCCAGCCTTTTGGTTACCAGCCAAGCTCTTAACCGCTGTGCCATCAGGGCTCCACATTTAGCATAGAATCTGGTAAATAGTGAGAACTCAATAAATTAAGGCTTAAAATAAAAACCACAACTTCTGCTTCTTAGCTCTAAAGTGGGCATAATCCACGGGAGGGTTATTGTGAGGGTAAAGGGCTATAACTAGGGGTTAGAGTTATACAAATATATGCATATATGCAAATCTATGGTTATATGAGCAGGGAGACGGTATGGAAAAACTCCTGGCTGTTAATGTTGGTTACTCAAGGAGTGAAAATGAGGGAAACAGGAGAAAATGAAGAAGGTAAAAAAAAAAGTAAAATATGTAGAATGTAAAACTTTGTAATGTTCCTGCAAAAATGTAGACATTGAATATGCATATGGACAAGGACTAGAGGCTAGTATTTAAGTTAGGATATCATGTTATGCAAACATGAAAAGTATGGTTGTTTTTAAAGTAATCAGTAAACATTCTTTGTTATACTGAGGGGTTTGGGGTTATGTGTGGGATTAGGAGCCCTGGTGGCACAGTGGTTAAAACTCTAGGCTGCCAACCAAAAAGTCAGCGGTAAAGATTACAGCCTTGGAAACGCTCTGGGGCAGTTCTACTCTGTCCTATAGGGTCGCTTGAGTTGGAATCGACTCCACGGCAGTGAGT